GAGAGAGAGAGAGAGAGAGAGAGAGAGAGAGAGAGAGAGAGAGAGAGAGAGAGAGAGAGAGAGAGAGAGAGAGAGAGAGAGGAGGGTGATGGAGGGGAACATGATGCAGGGGACGTGGCCAGGGGAGAGCGGAATGAGAGGGGGTACCGAAGGAGAAGGGAAGACGAAGAGGACAAGATGTGGAAGAAGAACGCGAGCAGGAAGAGATGAGCAATGTGTGGAGAATGAATCCGAAGAAGCACAAGAGAGATAGAAGTAGGAGAAGGGAGGGGACAGTAAGATAAGAGACGGTAGCAGACGGACGGATGGGAAAGAGATCCGTAGAAGAAGACGAGAGTTGGGAGGGAGAGAAGGAAAGAACCTGAGAAAGACAAGTGATGGATAGAAAAGAACGCAAACTGGAAAGATGAGCAATGGACAGACAAGGGAGGCGAAGGAAAAGACAAAGAACAGGAGGAGGAGATGCGAGAAGCTGAAAAACACTAGCGATGGATGGAGAAGAAGTCGAATGCTGACAAAGACGAGAGACAGGAGGGGAAGCAGAAGCTGAAGAGAACGAGAGGTGGAAGGAGAAAGGAAAGGATTCCGGAGAAAGGCTAGAGAGGAAAGAAGAACCAAAGTGCCCACTGAAAAGGACTAGCAGTAATATACGTTTGAGCCCATCAGGATTTGAACTGGTCTGCTTCCCAAAAACAAAACAAAAAAACAAAACAAAAAAAAAACTTGGGTGTTTGGGCCATTCAGCAACGCGGGCCGGGAGCACAATGGTAATAATATATGGACATGAACATTGCTGCTGCTTTCTGTGTGTTTGCTGATTTCAGAAGCGTGCAGGGATCGATACCTTCTTCCAGGCTGAGCCGGCCCTAGTGTTCAGGCCTCAGGAGCAGCAAGCCCCTCCAGCTGCTTCGGCCATCAGCCCCTCTGGCAAAGCCCTTGTGCCAAATTCAAGCTGGGGTCTGAGAGCACGAAGCCCCCCACAAAACCGAAATGAGGGCGAGGAGCTGCGCAGGCGGGAAGAAAAGTTACCCCCTTGCGTTGCACCCCCTATCCCGTTCCATTATGAAGGTCCTGGGGTCATCAGCTTTTCATTAGCGTCAACGGGTGCAGCAGGAAGCCCTCCAAGGCGGACAGATGTGAAGGACGGTGCAGGACAAGTAAACACCACGAAGGATGTGTTTTTGGGACGGCATGTGGCCATCGACTTCGACGCTGCAAACACGATCGGCACGTCCGAAATACAGTCGCCACCGCTGAGGCCATTGCTGAGTGCAAGTGGGCTGGGAGGGGGGGGGCTGTGCGGCACAGGCGAGGAGCTGCAAGACAAAACGCTGAGGACTGACAAAAATTGGTCTGCGACAGAACGTGACAGCTTGTCGGCAAGGAGAGCGTCCACGAGTCGTGAAGAGCCACCAATTCGCCTGCAGAGACGGGAGCTCGGAACTGTCGACGGAAAAGATGGTAGCGGTAGCAGCAGCAGGTACTATGAAGTGTGTGAAGAAGGGGTACACGATGGCCATGGGGGGGGGCGCGATTGCAGACAGAGGGAGAGAGGCAGTGAGGAGAAGCAGGCCGCTCATGTCATTGATGACTATGCGGCCCTGGCGAACTCTACAGTCCCTGCAACACGAGCAGGGAGTGGCAGAGGAGGAGGAGGAGGAGGGGGAGAAGAGGGTCGGGCAGCAAAGGATCCTAACAAAGAGACGAGTAACAGAATATTCAGTAATGCACTTCGAGATGGCCGAGGCGACAGGGTGATTATCGAGCTGGCTGAAGATAGGGAGGAAGGATGGGGGAGGAGGAAGGCAAGTGTGGCAGCAACTCCTGAAGGGGCTCCAAGCACAGCAGGAGGTGTAAAATGGGAGGCATCACCAGACGGAGTTTCCCGAGCCAGTCGGGTGCCTAGCACGAGTGGTGCTAGCATTGATGCTACACCAAAATCAAGGGAACCCAGAACCCGAGCGAGGGAGAGTCAGGACTCTGAACCGCGAGTGCCGTCGATGCGCCGTAGTGGATTGATCCTATCCAGTAGTCAAGCAAGTGACCGATCTACGTCATCATCCTTTGGTCCTGGCAAAAGATTTTCAATCACCGAGCACCACAGCCAAACAGCAGAAAGAAGAAGGAAATATTCCTTAGGTGGTGGCGGCAGTAAGGGACACCCTCCAAGGAGTCCTCCGAAGGACCTTCATGCTACAACGCCGACCGGGGAGAAGACGCCAGGGAAGCAGGTACAGAAACTGGAAACCATGCCAAAATAGGAAAGAAGAGAAGAAGTATGGCGCCATCTCCATAAGATGATTCTACCACCTTGATCATCGCCTCTACAATTTCTCCCCTGCATTGTCACTCCGGCATAATACCGCCTCTATCATCTCCTCCAGCTCATTGGACACCATAGCTCGGCTAATGGAATGCGTTTGTCGCCTCCTCTTCTTCGCAACGTCTGACCTGTGTCTAACTTGTTCCAGCTTGAGCTCTGAGCCTTCTTTGGGCCTCGCTGCACAACTTTTCAAATGTGTAAAAGAGGCGAGTGTAGCTTTTGCAACCAGACTCGTTCTCTCCTTCACTCGGCATGTATGCAAACAGATGGCAATCACACTGGCGCCAGGCGCCCACACAAAGCTCAGAGATATCGAGGCCAAGAACACAGTTCAGATTCAAACTTGCTTCGAATGGCTATGGCACCTGTACGCCCTCACAACACCCTTCCGACATTGTATTCCCAGCAACTGTTCACACGCACGCTACTCTGGATCTCCCTGGATGTCCCCCCCCCCACACACACATACACGCCATAGCCTATCTCTAACCTACAGCAGCTATGGCTGCCTTCTACCTCCCCTACTAACTAGCGGCTATGGCCGCTTCGTCTCCTTCACAGCCCACTTCCTTCGGGCACCTGCAGACCTCCTTGCACAAGACGCTCAGACAGTGCTTCCGCACGGCTCACAGGCAGAATGAATGAATGACTGGACGCTGCCTCTTAATTTATACTCCGGTTGGTCGCTGGTCTGCCCCCTTTCCACCGAGCCCAGGGTGCACACAGTCCCACATGGTACTTGCTGACTGGACAAGGTGCGACTGGGACTGGGTACCACTGACTAGGCGAGGTTGGACTGCCCACTTGCCCACTTGCCTCTAGCCTAACCTAAGCAATTCTTGAAAGGTCACTTCCGGAGCGTTTGGAAGTCTGTAGGATTGACCTTTCAGGACTGTAGCAGCTACGACCTTGACCTTTCAGGGCTGTGGCAGCTACAACTTCTACACAGCTACGGCCCCTACTTGACAGACCTACGGTTCAAGACCTGACGACCATGCTAACCTGAGATAGACAATAGACGTCTACCAAAACACAGGTCACAATTTCAAACACACATGGGTCGACTTGGTATTGTACACGGGTGAGGGCAAGGTCTAGGGATCAAGCCCTGCAATACGCGTCTGCTACTGCAAAGGTGAAAACTGTTTCACTCCTGCCGGCCTAAATTCGAGGTCCTCCGAGAGTATGTCAATCTACAGTAGGCTCTTTACCTTTCTTAATTCTTTCATAGGCATGAATTACATCGGGATCAGTCTCTAGAAGCTCTGTTCGGGTAAACCAGCAGTCGTCTTCCGGTTCTTGATAAGAAAATCTGACTGTGTACTTTTCTGTGGTCGACCTCGACCTCCTGTTCTGAATACATCCTCACCTACTATGCAATCAATGTCGTATCTTTCGTCCATATCTGGAGGGATCATGGACCTTCTGCGAAATGTTCTCCTCAGGAGTGAACTCTTTGGACTTGACCCAGACTAAGTTGCCTACTTGGAACTGTGATGGGCGACGATGTTTATTGGCTTGTTCTATCATCCTATGTTGGGCCTTCCTGAGGTTCTCTACCACTTTAGCAATCTCTTTCTCATGCTGTAGCGCAAACTCCCTAGTTCCGGGCGGTAGCCTCTTAATCTGATCCCGATTTAGCCCTTCAAACGGTCTGCGTGGTTTAAAGGACTTGTGCAGCTCATTGGGAGT